ATTATCAGAATGTCTGAATGATATCCATAGATATATCCATATATAAATAGACATCATGATGTCCATAGACATCCATAGATATTTAGAGATATCAGTATGTCCATAGATATCCCTTCGGACTTGACTAAAATTCCACAGTAGATCAGTAGACAATGTCTCCTTCACAAATCAGTTTTTCCACATAAAAAAACATTATTGTGCAACCTATCAGTCCCACAGCCCTCTGGGAAGCGCATAATTTTCGCAGCACCGATTCAGCACGAGAAAAAACTCTGGAACGGTTTTGACAAACGGTGTCTCACCAGCAGTGATTCAATATCCAGATGTCATTCTAATTCGACTCGGGCTGATCGATTAAAAAAACACCAACGTGATGACATTGACGGTGCCCACTCTGTGGCGCGGGGAGATGCTGCTCTCTGCCGGTGGCGTGCGGAAGCGCAGGCCTCTTGCCTTTCCCAGGTCAACAAGAGGTCACAATGACATTTGATTTATTCCTCCAGAATACCTATTCCTCCAGAATAAATCAAATATCCAGATTTTTCAGGAGGGCCCTGGCAAGCTTTTCCGGTAGGGGGCGAGGTTGCAAGGTGTAAAAACCACATTCAGTAATTTGTAGATATTTTCTTTTGCATTGTTGGCCTGTTTGGCCATACCAGTTGCAGTGCGTTTATTTTTTAGCTTTCGTTCATCATTTACATTCCATCCACTGCTGGATGAAGGGCCTCTCCCACATTGCCACTCTGCACGACGCTACCGTCTCCACAGGGGCGGTCCTCCGTGCAGTCGTTTTTACTTTGTAGGCAAAAGCCTCCTCCGAGGATGACCAACGCGGCTTTATTGAAAACAAAACTCTTGGGTACTGCGCGATTCCAAACGGATCGAGTTTGCAGTGACAACACGAGTCAGCCCGCGCCGACAGCTCCCCACAAAACCCACAGGGGCGCAATCGCGTTTCACGCACACGGCAAAACCATTTATTTTTTGACGTACGACAATGGCCCCTTCAGCGTGCCGTTCCCCAAGTTACATGTTCAACCGACGTCCCTTACACGCGAGGTCCCTGCGTTTGTTCCCTTGTGTGTGATCCGTTGCGCCGCACTCTTGTAAACAACGCGAGAGGATTTTTATTACGGTATGATCATCAGCGCGGTTAAATAGCCGTAAGAACGACGTTATTGCACAAAGCGTGTGGCGTTGCTCTCGACAGCCTAAATGGAGGAAGCGGCGTTGGTTCGTTTGTACAGCGGAGGTCAGAAAGCCAGCATGGGCGTCACGTCGCACCGCTCCATCCTGCATGACCTCTATCGGGGGGGTCAACAATGCCAAAAAGGGGGCGGCACAAGGCAACACGATGAGGGGGGGGGGGGTTACCAAATCTCAACTGTGGCCACCTTAACAAGGCGACTGATTCGCGAAAGAATCGACGGATCAGCACTCACGCAGAGAGCACCAACATCGAAACGATGGACCGCCAAATGTCAAACGGGGAAGTAGTAAACAAAAAAGCAGCAAGCAGGTCACGTGAGTGGCATCCACCGTTACGGGGCTCGCCCCACTCGTGACAATATCCAGGGGGAGAGGCTACTCGAGGCGTAGGCAAGACTACGACATTAAGGGTCTCTCTGGCCTCTCAATCTCTTCCGTGCCTTCTCGAGTTCTGGCTTGAGCTCTGGTGCGCCACGCTGCTGCTGCTCTGAGAAACAGCGACACAACCCCCCTATCTATACCGTGGACAGCCCTTGCATCCATCCGCTGCTGGATGAGGGACGCCAGGGTGGGCAGGGTCGTGGGGATTATTTAGCCACACTTCGTCGCGCTGCTCAGTGCGGGTTCGTGAAGGCGGAGATGGCATAGAAGTAGAGTACAACAATGGATGTTGCTGCACTGACCTCTCTTTACTTTGCCAACAGTTGTTGTTGGCAAAAGCACTCCCTCTAGAGTCTCAACGATCGGGCCGCTGGATTAGCCGGGGTGAAGTGGAGCACACCCCCGAGGCCTGGCCCTGGTGTGGGGCGTGGTGCTGGTGGTGGTGGTGCTGGTGGTGGTGCTGGTGGTGGTGGTGGTACTGGTGCTGGTGGTGGTGCTGCTGGTGGTGATGCTGGTGGTGATGCTGGTGCTGCTGGTGGTGATGCTGGTGGTGGTGCTGGTCGTGGTGCTACTGGTGGTGATGATGATGGTGGTGCTGGGTGTCGCGGGTGAGTTCAGAGGTCAGGCGCTCATTGCACCGAGGGCCTCGCCTCTCCGACGTCCACAAAAGTTCAAAATCCAGGCCGCACATTCCGAATCATCGGCGTCCAGACGCTTACACTGCACTCAGGGCTCATTACAACAAATCGAAATTGAAAGTGATTTTTCCTCAAAATTGTGAGACAAAAAAACAACAACAACGCTCTGTGTCGATAAGTGATGTAAACACGACCACAAACTATTTTACGAAACGTGAGTTTATATACAAGCCTACGACCAAAAGCGTAATGTGGTAAATGTATCAAATTTTTGATGCACGGCTGATATCCTCGTTTGAGATGAGGGCTTTTTTGTGTTAATGACAGACGTAGATTACGTACCCCATCAAAACATCAACGTTACCATTTAAGCTTAATTGTTAATTACGACAACTGCTAATATATTCGCCTGTCATTAAGATAGTCATCCCTGCTCATTGTCAGGCGGCCGCGACGAGGTTGCACAATTGCTGGGAGAAAACTCCCAAGTTCACTCGGCGACGATGGCTTCAATGAGGAGGCCTTCGACTCAAAAAACGCGGGCACTTGGACGAAGTCTTTCTCTGGGCTCCCGCACGTTCACCCCGGCGCACGACTCTGTACCGTAAACCCATCTCCGCGCGTCGCGTGACCGTCCAAAGCAGACAACTTCAACAAGCGCCCGGCGCGCGGGGGGTGTCTGCAGAACGAACACTCGCAACGCGGACGCAAAACAACATTGCCGTGCCAATCGGGGATTGGGGGGCGGGGGGGAGAGCAACAAATAGAACACGAACTGATTTTTGTATTTAGTTTTATCTGCTATCCCCCCCCCCCGCGCGCAGCTCCGATTAGCCCGGTCGGCGACGTACTGTGCGAAAGAAGTTCAGCATACGTACATTGCGGCTGCTCGCGAAACACTAACAATTACGGGCAAGATAAATCACCCCACACACCCCGACCATGTGATAAAATATTTTTTTATCCAAACATTACAGTGAACGCTCACACCTCCCGTGGCCTTCGGGGGTGGGTGTCGTAAACCATTCACGTACAACGCGCACGAATCGACGGACATCCATTGGTCAATGCGCGCAATTCGTTGCGCGCATCGCGAGCCGAATACTCGATATTAACCGATCGATCTCGACGCATCCTTTCGCCTCCGACCGACAGCGACCGCGCGCACCCCATGCCGACAAACCCGTGGCTTGCTCCTCACGTTCACCGACACCGTAGCGCAGGGTGTGGAGGAACTCTCGCCAGAGCGTCCGCACCTCCGATTAGCACGGTTGGCTACGTACGGTGCGCAAAACAGGTTCAACATACGTCATCGCTCGGGTTTTCCCACCGCGTCCGTGCAATTACGCTCAGTCCTGGCTGCGGACACGCCTGCGGGCTTATTCCGTCCGATGAGCCACCGACCGACCGTGTGACGAAAGTGCCCCCCGTACGCGTCCCTGGACATGTTTCCATGCGGCAACGAGCAGGGCAAGTCCGTCCCCCTGGGGCGGCGTGGTGACACATCGCGAGCTAAATGGCAGGAAGCCGGCGTAGCAGAGCGAGAGAACTCGGAAGGCCGCACGTCCCCAATAACGCAGGGACAGTGCCGGTACCGCGTGTGGATGTACGCAGTACACATCATTCGTTCCTTCATTTGTTTTTGGTTCTCAATAGTGATTCACTTATAACCCTCTCTTAGAATGTGGAACAATGGCTATAAGACCACGATGCATCAACACAGCTTAAGTTTATGGTCTATTTACGGACAGTGCTTTTATATCGGCAGCTTGAGTGTTTACGTGTGTACTGTACATGACTGTAGCAAGAAGGACGGTCCAACTCGTGTTACGTTTCCACGACCAATGGGAACCAGACTCGGGAGCAGCACCAAGGCCCAAGTCTACATCCCCACGCTCCAGGAATCGTGATGGTTGGCCCTTTGACCTCGCGACCTCGCGACTCGTTCCAAGGCGGCCCAGGCGTTGAGCTCGCTTGGCATCGGATCAAGCCGAGAGGTCTACCGTGTGGATGCCCGCTCGTGGAGTCAACTTGGATACATCGGACCGGGCCGGCGTGGTTCCCAGTGGTTGTGGAAGCGTAGCACTGCGCTGCCTCACTCTCCTACGTCTCGGCTAGAACGCGATTCTGCAGGTGGTGCAACTGCATCGGGGCCACAACAGGGGGCCCATGCGCTAGCCGACACAGTGCAGGGAAATTGAACGGGGCACCAAATTGTATTCTTTGCTACCAGGGCCTATGCCAACCAGGCTATGCCACCCGCGTAGCCTGGATGGCTACGCCACTGGCTTTGTATCCTCATCAGATGTGGCCCAGATCCAGTCCAAATTCCACCAGAAATCGCAGTTGTTCCGTCATGTCCAAGAGTGGCATGAGATGTCTGTCTTCGAGGTCACAACGCAGCCCCTTCATAGTTGTTGTATCGGTCGCAACAAAGACAACAATTCGCGAGATATTAACTCATATCTGGCGTGCAAATAACATTATAAACCTTCTATTTTGAGATGATCTTAAATTAGTGATTTACATTTCTTTGTATATCCTTTTACATCGATTTAATTACTATGAATTAAAGACAACTGCAGGTATTGGCGTGGTGACCTCCACGCCGGGCCGAACGCCCCGACACCAAAGTCCGACTCTCCCACGCACTCCCTCCCCGGGACGCACGACGGCGACGCGGAGGCACGCGGACGGTGTGAACGGTCGCACGGCCTCACCTCCCCCCCCCCCCCCCCCCCCCGAGCACCACCCGCCCGCCCGGCCCCCCGCGCGCCACCGCCCCCCGCGATGGCGCACGCCGCAAGCGGGGGAACCCTTTCCCCGTGGGGGGGGGGGGACCTCGTGGAGGCCTCGCGGCCCTCACTGCCCGTTGCCCATGGTGTGGTAGGTGGAGGCGGGGCCGCTGAACGCCAGCGGCTGGCTCGACTTCTCGCCGCCGCCGCCGCCGCCGTTGGCGGCGAGGTCGGAGACGGTGGACACCGGGAGCTCCTCGCCGTCCACGATGCCGACGCGGTCGTCGTCGTCGTCGTCGCCGGCACCCCCGGCACCGCCCGTGTGGAAGATGCCGGAGAGGTAGCGGATCTCGGAGAGCTCTCCCACCGTGTCGAGCATGAGCAGCATGGCCACCAGGCCGATGATCAGGTAGCCTGAGTCGATGGGTGAAGGCGAGAAGATTTTAGAGCTGAGACGATCAAGCGATCAGGTTTATTGATCGACTAAAAATTATATTCGACGCATTTTGTCGTGGTCGATTACCTTTGAAAATGGGGGGGGTCGCCCTCACATCCTGCCCCCCCCCCCCTCCGAAGGTGGAAAACCCCCTTAAAATCCACATCCAGCGTGTTTAACCAAGCCTGACAAACAAACGCTGCTGGATGACATAACTCTGGAAGGCGCAGGAGCTGACAAACTAAAACGTGGCTCTCTTTTACGTGAACGTGAAGCATTGGGGACCAACGTCACACATCCCCCCCATCTCCTTACCAGGGATCACCGCATCGCGCGCTTTCAGATGCGCTTCTGCGGCCGTCTGGAACACTCTTCCGATATTAGGAAGCTACTGGAGCTACGCACTTTTAAGTAATCTAGATTGAAAGCGCATTTCTTAAAAACGGATTTTTTTTGTGTCGAGTTTGTTTTTCCTTTCCCCGCACCTCCGATGAGCGCGGTCGGCTACATACGGTGCGAAAGAAGTTAAACATACGTCCATTTATTTCACTCTCACCGCGGCCACGCGAGGGCACTCACAGGTGACGCAGAACTTGTAAAGCTCGCGCAGGTGCTGCCCGTAGGCCTCGCCCGGCACGTAGTCGCCCAGGCCGATGGTGCTGAGCGAGATGAAGCAGAAGTAGAACGCCTCGAGGAAGTTCCAGCTCGTCTCGAGCGCCGTGAAGATGCCGGCCGGGATGAAGAAGAAGCAGGTGATGACGACGACGACCAGCACGACGGCGTGCGCGGTGGCGACGCGCTGCCGCGATGCGCCCAGCCGCCGCTGCATGTAGGCGATGGGCCGGCGCGTCACCAGCGCCATGAGGCGCTGCACCACGGCCGTGAGCAGCAGCAGCGTGAAGGGGATGCCCACCACCGAGTAGATGATGCAGAAGGCCTTGCCGCCGTCGGACAGCGGCACCGTGTGGCCGTAACCTGCGGGGGCACGCGGACAGCGAAGGGGTTACGGCCGTGAACGCACTGGGTGGGGGGGGGGGGGAACTTGAGGTGGAGCGACGCCGGTAGCAGCTGCCGCGCGGCGTTTGAACGAAGTTTGAACTTAGTTTGCCGACATTTGGATGCGTGTGGTCGCTAATGTCAATAATTCCGCTCGCGATTCGTGCACCGAATCGTGGGTGCGAGAAGCGATTATTTACGCTCCATGCAAACGTTACATTTAGGCTACGGAAACAAAACTGTACAAGAGAAACAACTAAAAAGACGAAACAATAAATTGTTTCTTGAAGTGAGTGGGGGGGGGGGGAGCGATTCGTTACGAGCCCAGAGAAAGCCAGAAACGAGATCCACCGCTCTCAACGCGGGTCGCGTAAATCGCCTGCACTCACGCCCAGGGTCTCACGACAGGCGGCATTGTTTTTTTTGTCATTTCACTGAAACGCTGGGACACGGAGAGAGCCACTAGGGTAAGCAACGTTTGAGACCGAGTGGAACCACCTGGGAGCCTCAAAGAATCCCAAGGGCTTTCCGGGGCACTTGCGTTTGTAAACTGTGGCCTGCCAATTATGTGGCCCCCACAGGAGCACGTTGGGACCTTCTGCAAAGCTGTGTAATCACTTATTTAATGCAGATTAAAAAACGGCGTGCGAGATCGCGACAATTAAAATGTCCGCGTCGCGTGTGACGTTTGAGTTAGCGTGGAAGCTGCCGTTTGGCAAAATAACCAAAGCTGACGCGTAACCACACGAGACGCGCTCGTGAATTAATGATAAACACGTGAATAAGTAAAGATCAATGAATAAATTAACAGTCGCCTACTGGCGGGCCACAGCCAGCCAGCATCAAACAATGTCCACACACGGTTCACCTATAGAAACGATCACGCTTCGCAAGCCTCATGTTTATGTCTACTTACTCTGTGATGGTTCAGATTCCCGACACTACCGCTGTCTTGGATGTTGCCTCTAGGATTGCCACCTCCGAGTTACAAAACACCAGGGCATATTATGGGTAAAATAATAAAAATGATTATAATAATTGTAATGATAATATCTCGCAACAGCGGAAGAGGTGAGAACTGCATATGAGCGCATTGTGTCTCGTGGTGAATGTAACGTGGCTCTGTCCAAGCGTTGCAGTAAATGCAGACTTTCAGATTTTCCCAGGACAGCTGCCTCGACAAGAGGACGATCCTGGGGGAAAATCAAGCCAGGTGGCAACCCGAGTGGCCTCAGAATGGCAGCTTGCCGAGCCCCCAGCGCTCAGCACCCTCCCCACCAACCCCACGTGAAACCGTCACGATTCGGGGTCACAGTTCAATTCGATAATCCATCCTTATTGTCTCCGGTTGTGTTGTTCCTCTGATTGGTCATGCTTTATTTGTGCTGCCCTGGTCACTGTTAACAGAGGGGGCGATTCATGTCGATCTTCAAAACCTTCCGGGGTATCGCACAACTGCGCCCTCTCCCGGTGACCGCTGAGTAGTGACGCCACACACACGCACACTCGCCTCTCGAGGTGCAGAGTTAGAAAGGGGGACGACCGTGGGTGTGGCGATTGCTCGCTGAGGTTTTGGCAAGGCTGCTATGTTACCGATCGCCTGCGTGGTCGCGAGGCCGTGTGTGTGTTTCCGCGTGCTCGCACCGGTCGGCCTGCAGTTGTGAGACGGGAGCAAATGCTGCAGTTCAGCACAGACCGCAAACCCCAACCGACTCACCACCGTGATGACTTATGGAACTTCTCAACAGCTCAGCCTCCTTACAGTAATTGCGCCTTTCAAACAAGTGACACCTACACAACCGGCCCTCCCGCTCTACGCCTCGGTGAATTAAACTTACAGCCCCTGTATTTGTCGGTCAATCCACTGCTGTACGAAGGCCTCCCCATGTCGTGGCGGTTGATGGGAGTTTGTACGACCAAGGCTGGGAATAGAACTCAGGTCACCAGGTTCATGGTTCAGTGCACGATCCACTACGCCACCACTTCACCGAAGCCTTGGTTAATGGAAACTACCTCTTTGGTTTCAGTGGGATTTTTATAAGCTCGTGGGGAAACGACTGGAATGTTTTAATATGTAAATGAGTTATCATGGCTATGCCTGCTCGATTGTATTCCACAGGGTGACGATAACCGAGGAACTGCTCTCTATTCGTTTCCTGCCAGTTCCCTCTGCCAAGCCGTTTTCTTTCCTGCCCGGCTGGGTGCGGCAGACTCGACCGGCAGAGACGTTGCGTTTTCCGCGCGGCCACCGCCCCTGCCTCCCGCCCCACAGGACAAAGGGGTTTGCGGGGTTGAGTGGGGACAAAAAAAAATGCAGAGGGCAGCAGTCACACTTCTTTTGTGTGGGTGACACCTGGGGTCACATCTGGCACACTCGCTGGCTTTCAAACGAAGAGTCTGGGGGGGGCGCTGGGAGTTTCCCGCAGATTTCTTTGGCCTGCACTGTCGAATGTAGTGACGTGGCAGTCGGAGGAGTAACACTCGGGGTTTTGTGCGGCCGGCCGATGCAGACTTGACACTGGCAGCCGTGAACACTGCCGGTGTTTTACTCGGCTGTTGGATGCCGCTCCACGTTAGGCTCGGGTGCCCCCCAGGCTCAACAGAACGTTCGGTGGTTGCTCATCTCTGCTGGAGATCCTGAGCCAGGGTGTTAATTCCACGTTCCTCTGGCAGGGGGCCAGTCTCTCCATAGGACAACTCCAATATAATGCAAGAAACGCGTATAGTAAATATATATTACATCACCAATCGGCCTCTAATTTTCTATTCTGCGTGATAATTGGCTGTTCTCAGTTTGTTAATAAACGAAATCTTCAGGAGCCCGAATAAGTTTGATTTATTTACAAGTATGCAACCTTTTCAAAATGATCCTCGTGGCACATCTGAGCGTGGTATTTGTAGTAAACTGTCGATAGTTGTACAGGCTGTGACTCAATTACAGAATAAGTCGGCGGTCCGACACATATACACAACACTGAATGTCCTGTCACCATCCCAGTGTGGATGAAAAAGTCAGTCCGAGTGCATCGAGTGCGTTTGACGCCTACAGAGCGCTCCAGGCTCCGCGCCGGGGGTGACCACCGGGTTTTTATTTGGACTTTCCTGCCCCTGGGAGGTCACGAACTCGCTTTCGATTGAGACGTTTAAGTCCCGGCTGAAGGCCAGGCCTCCTCTCTCTCTCTCTAGTTTCTCCATCTTTTATCTTGAGTCTCTCTCTCTCCGGTTACTGCTCACTAATGTCCCTGCTTTACATGCATGGCACTCGGAGATACATTGTTAAAGGATGCTTTATACATCAAAATTATTATTATTTTGACAATTATCCCTGCTTAAAAAAAAACCCATTTATTTATATCTGAATTACATTCCTAATTGGTTGGCATACGTGTTTTCTTCGTCTGCCCAGTGCCAGGTCCTTGGCACAATCTCCGTCCATCCCAGCCGATCTTGAGCTTTCTCCATTTCACTGTACGTGCCCCACTCCCCCGTTGAAATCACCAAGCCAGGATCTTTCTTTTCCGCTTCTTGGCCTCTTTCCCAACTTCCTTTTCTTACAAAACCTCCTTCATCAAGCGTTCACCTCCGAGGACGTGCACAATTCTCGGCTTTTGCTTTTTTCTGGATTGTTTTAAATCAAGACTTCCGTTGACGTGCCGTTGCCCGAGCAAAAAAAGCCGCTTCACGATAATACTCGTGATTGCTCACATATTTGACGCGTCCGGACCGTACGTTCAAATTCGCAGGGCTGCCCTCGTGCGACCATTAATTTTTCAATCGCCGGCAAGTCAGAGGATACCGGGGGGGCCTCTGACGCTCCTTTGCTGCTCGCGAAGCTTCCAGCCACGAGGGAAGCTGTGCAGAACGGCCCCTCAAACTCCGATACAGTGTCCCTTTACTGGGCTGGCAGTTGCTGACCGTGCTGGCAGTTGTGTAATGACGCACAGGCTGACGGCATTTGTCATCAGCAAACACTGCACATTTTTAAAACGCCGTCATCTGGCCGCGATGAAAAAAGGCCATCGCTCAAATCTTCAGCTCGTTGGCCGTGTAGATACTCCAGCATAGTTTTTTTACGCAACCAGTGGAGAATGCTGGCACCCGCGCTGCGAGCTCGTTGCTTCAGCACGTAGTGGAACACAACGAGCAAGGCCAGCAGACCCACTCGCTGGCCTCTCGGCACGTAACAATGCGTCATTTTCAAACGATTCTCGTACTCGCGATACATGCATCACATTTCCCCCGATTACATTAATTTGCGAAAACGTTGCATGTCATCGTTTTTTTTTACCAAATCCAGACCCCCCCCTCCCCCCGAATCGTGATGGCAAATTTGACGGTTTCACAGCAACCAACCCCTGCGCCGTAGTCTGCCACACGCGCTTCTTACTCTGCTAATGACTCAACACGTTCATCAACAACACTGTGTGGCCTCAACATTGAAAATATGTACAGCGAGGGAAACAAGCATTTGATCCCCTGCTGATTTTGTACGTTTGCCCACTGACAAAGAAATAATCAGTCTATAATTTTAATGGTAGGTTTATTTTAACAGTGAGAGAAAGAATAACAACAACAAAATCCAGAAAAACGCATGTCAAGCATGTTATAAATTGATTTCCATTTTAATGAGGGAAACAAGTATTTGACCCCCTCTCAATCAGAAAGATTTCTGGCTCCCAGGTGTCTTTTATACAGGTAACGAGCTGAGATTAGGAGCACACTCTTAAAGGGAGTGCTCCTAATCTCAGCTTGTTACCTGTATAAAAGACACCTGTCCACAGAAGCAATCAATCAATCAGATTCCAAACTCTCCACCATGGCCAAGACCAAAGAGCTCTCCACGGATCTGGGACAAGATTGTAGACCTACACAAGGCTGGAATGGGCTACAAGACCATTGCCAAGCAGCTTGGTGAGAAGGTGACAACAGTTGATGCGATTATTCGCAAATGCAAGAAACACAAAAGAACTGTCAATCTCCCTCGGCCTGGGGCTCCATGCAAGATCTCACCTCGTGGAGTTGCAATGATCATGAGAACGGTGAGGAATCAGCCCAGAACTACACGGGAGGATCTTGTCAATGATCTCAAGGCAGCTGGGACCATAGTCACCAAGATAACAATTGGTAACACACTACGCCATGAAGGACTGAAATCCTGCAGCGCCCGCAAGGTCCCCCTGCTCAAGAAAGCACATATACATGCTCGTCTGAAGTTTGCCAATGAACATCTGAATGATTTAGAGGACAACTGGGTGAAAGTGTTGTGGTCAGATGAGACCAAAATGGAGCTCTTTGGCATCAACTCAACTCACCAGTTTGAAGGAGGAGGAATGCTGCCTATGACCCCAAGAACACCATCTCCACCGACAAATATGGAGGTGGAAACATTATGCTTTGGGGGTGTTTTCCTGTTAAGGGGACAGGACAACTTCACCGCATCAAAGGGACGATGGACGGGGCCATATACCCTCAAATCTTGGGTGAGAACCTCCTTCCCTCAGCCAGGGCATTGAAAATGGGTCGTGGATGGGTATTCCAGCATGACAATGACCCAAAACACACGGCCAAGGCAACAAAGGGGTGGCTCAAGAAGAAGCACATTAAGGTCCTGGAGTGGCCTAGCCAGTCTCCAGACCTTAATCCCATAGAAAATCTGTGGAGGGAGCTGAAGGTTCGAGTTGCCAAACGTCAGCCTCGAAACCTTAATGACTTGGAGAAGATCTGCAAAGAGGAGTGGGACAAAATCCCTCCTGAGATGTGTGCAAACCTGGTGGCCAACTACAAGAAACGTCTGACATCTGTGATTGCCAACAAGGGTTTTGCCACCAAATACTAAGTCATGTTTTGCTGAGGGGTCAAATACTTATTTCCCTCATTAAAATGCAAATCAATTTATAACATTTTTGACATGCGTTTTTCTCGATTTTGTTGTTGTTATTCTGTCTCTCACTGTTCAAATAAACCCACCATTAAAATTATAGACTGATCATTTCTTTGTCAGTGGGCAATCGTACAAAATCAGCAGGGGATCAAATACTATTTTCCCTCACTGTATTAGGCGACTTTTCAGGTAATGGCCCTCATATATATCACCTAGAAAGCCAAAATAGGCTTCTCATTTCAGGTAATGTGTTTAATGCTCATGAATTAGTAATGATCATCGACTCTCCGATTGTGATGCACCGCTACGGCACGCTCATTAGGCTTGGCAAGCACTCGAGGCACATTACATTTGGGCAGGCGATGGGGAATTGTGGTTTGAGCACTGTACGTGTCGTGTCGCTGCCCTGCCCAACCACAGCCCCCCCCACCGCCCCCCCCCCGTGAATGCACCTTGGCCCTAACAACCTGTCGCGTTTGTTTGCTCACAGGACCGCTCGCCGATAGTCGCTTGGCCACGCGGTATAAAACAAGGCACGCTAAAGGGCTCCAGTCGCGTCTTGTCGGTCAAGCTGGTCCCGCAGTCGGTCGCGGAAGTTGATGTCAACGCGGAGTTATTAGAGGCCAGTCGCACGCACGCCCTGTGACTTTGCTCGGGAGGATGATTTTGAGTGCCGATGGAGGGTGGCGTCACGAGTTAGGTGTTCCCATGAGCGTGTACGGACACGCACTTCACCTTCTCCTAAACAAACAGAGACTTGAGAAACCAAGCTCACCGGCCACAGGGAATGCCATCGGTTCACAAGCTCCGATAGAAGGTCACAGATTGAGTTGGCTGCACCTGCTGTGCTGGCAGCTGTGTTGAAAATATTGGTCGTAAACAAACACTGCACATTGTAAAACGTGGTCCTCAACTGTAAGTGACAAGTTTCCACTCGACTCTCTCTCTCCCTGCCGTGAAGAATGGCCATTGCTGAACCACCCTTAAGCTGACTCAAGGAGTAGATGTTTCAGTCAGCAGTTGGTGCCAGCCCATCGTTGTGGGGTCCAATCCCAACTCAAGGTAACGTCCCATGCCCGTCAATCAGTAAATGGGGCACTGCTTTAAAGTTCACTGCCAGCAAGTACATTATGAAGTTATTATGGGTATAGAGACGAATCGATGTTTACACTCACACGAGATGTAAAACGAATCATGCACGTATCGATTATCCGCAACTTATGTTGGTGGTATGTTGATAAATCTGGCTGTCGCCTGATGATGCTAGTTGTTATTACTCGTGAAACGTCGTACGCGAATTGTAAATCTTGTAGGTTTACTCTCCAACACACCATTGTGCTGTACTAGCAACGAATTCGCATATTTTGTTTACGTGACAAACCTTACTAATTGGCTGTGTCGGGTGGTGGTGGGTTTAACGACACATTTATATATTTACTTGATCGAACCCAAAAAACACGCAATCACGTTGATATACTGTACTTAGGCAATTGGAGCAAACTAAACTATTCAAAACGGCACAAATAATTAGAAATAATACAAACGCCGTGATGCTGAGACAAAACCAATACGTCGACTCTTGAAACCGGTTGGGAACCCCAAAAAATGTTAACAACTCGTGGCGAGACGTTCTGGGTGGGATGAATCTTTATCCCGTCTAAAAGCCATGTTTCCATGCCTGCTAATCAGCAAGCGCACAATCCTCGGCGTTTAATGCCAGCGCGGCGGTCATGATCAAGTTGCGTAGGTGGAGGAGGAAGCCGTGTTTTGCTGAATGGGCTAATTTTTTGTTCAGGGTGGCCCCAAGTTTGTTTTGTGTGAAAACTGTGTGTGCGTGCTCGACATGGTGTGGTTCCTTCTCATGCAATCTCACCTCAACAAGCCTGCCCTACCCTGCCTGTGCCACAAATTACACGTGAATGTTTGTGCACTTCGTAGATTTGTACCACCTTGTTATTCAACCAGCCTAGAGCCCATGTGCAAGTATGTCGCACACACGGGGACCGTTGTTATTTAGGATGATTTGTAGCATTTTCTGATTTCAGTTTTCTTTTAAAGTAAGTAATGTCCTAATTTGGGCCATGACAGAGGAGAAAAAAGGTAGCTTTTTCAGACGGCAAATCATGGCATCACAGCGGCTAATATCGGACCTTTTTTGACAGTGTCAAAGTATGAAAAAATAAGAATAGGTTTTAACCTTTCTGGAAATAAAAATCCTTTTGGCGTTCTCTGGTCTGACACTGGCGAGACTAGGCTCTAAAGAAGGCTGTCTCTGGTGTAGACCAATCCGTTTCAAAGACTACGCCATATGTTATCAGAGCGTGTTTTTGTTTGCATGTTCATCACAAGTACTGTGTGTGGTTAACACAGACACGATTTGTTGCAAAAGGTTTCTATTTGATGTTTGAACATCTTAACAACTGTATTATTGCCAGAAAGGGTAAAACCTAGTATTATTTTTTTCATATCACAGCGTCTATTGAACACCCTACTCACGGCGGACGGAGCACTTTGAGACATCCTAACAGAAGGTCAATACAGGAATCTGCAAACGCCGTTGGTGGTCTTTATTTCTGGCAGCAACTGGGGGTTTCAATTTCATGATTAAATAAAAATATAAAATCAATCAATCTTGAACAGCACTTTGTCAATCCACCGTTGGATGAAGGCTGCCCCCCGTGCTGTATCAGTCATGGGTATTGTTTGACCATACTTCACCATGCCGGTCAGTGTGAATTGGTGAAGTCGGTGGCTGAGGAGCAGGCGAGATCTCACCACTGATTTTAGCCGTGGCAAGTATTTAAACTCAGGTTGCAGGGTTCACAGCACGACGTGTTAACCACTGCGCCACCCAAAGACAAAAATCATCCTGAAGCTTCAATTATAGGAGTTCTTTTTTACATCCACCTTGGGTTGTCCAGACTCGAGTGAGACATGGAGGTGGATTCATGATTGTAATGCGACGGCAACACGTGCGATGGCCATTGCAGCAGCTCTCCTAGGAAGCTGCATGCACACGGGCACGCGTCCATTCCCAGGGGGGAGAAGGTGCCGCCGATGATGAACCCACTGCCAACGCATTGACCTTCCCAAACGACGTCACCCGATACTCCTCAACCAAACGTGGGAGGTATTGCCACTCCATGCAGAGGCTCGCAGTTCGTGCCCAGCAGCCACCCTGGTCATTACTGGGGGGTGCATTAACCGTGGTGACACGCATCGTCTGATGCATATTGGAAATTACAGATTCCATGTTATTTTTTTCAAGGGCATATGTGCTGGCGTTATGGTGTTAATGTTCCAAAGATTACTTACGCGGAGAAAAAAATACCACGTTAAATTACTTCCTCCTATCAGACTAAAGACCCGACACTCCATGCGCTTTGTACCGCACAGGAACAGCTGGGCATTGGCACGGGTGCCATGAGATGCCGTGTAAAGCGCTTTTGAGTTGCCGATTCATTCAGGGGCCCTGAAAAAATAAAAATATCCCTTCTAATCTCCCGGGCCTTCCAGGTAAACGACACCACTTTGTCACAGAGCACCCAAGCCGTGCAAACAGCTTAAACTCGCTCCGTGAACTAAACGCGCCTGCTCGGGCGTTGAGCATCGCTCTCTCAACCCGCGCACCGCATTTCAGCTGGCAAGGCCCATCGAGCTGAGCGGTGGTTGTTGTTGCTGCTACTGCTGCTGCTGTCTCTCTTAAACGCGGACGTCGAGGCAGTGCCGGCAGACCGCGCCGTCGCTCACCTGTGGTTGTGAGCACGGTGCTGGCGAAGAACAGCGCCGACGTGAAGTCCCAATTGACGCGCCCGGATGCGTTGTTGAGCACCGACACGCCGTAGTTGCTGGCGCCCATGACCTTCTCGAGAAAGGTCTCCAGCTCGGCGTCGCGCACGCACGGGTGGTCCGCCAGGAACTTGGTGCGCAGGCTGCGCAGGTCGTCCCGCAGGTCCTGCTCGGCCGGGCGCTCGAGCGCCGAGAAGACGGCGGCGCCCACCACGAGGTAGACCACGTAGGCCAGCAGGAGGCCCAGGAAGACACACGCCGAGCGCCGCTGCTCCAGAATCCTCCCGCACGAGCTCGTGGCCAGGGACTGCAGCATGGTGGCGGCGCTTGTTGGGGGGTGCGGGAGGGGGGGATGCGATGGAGGTGTCGCGGGAGGAGGGAGTGTGGATGGATGATGTGATTGTGGTGGCGGCTCTGGTGGTGGTTTTGGTGACGGATGTTGCTGCTAGTGAAGGGAATACGTGTGCTGGCGGTGATGGAAGTGATAGCTTTCTGCCGGTGAAGCTGACAAATTTTCTGCCGCTGACGTTAGCGATGATATAAATGTGCCGCTTTGCGGAGGTGATTATTCGTCTGATCCTGGCCGAGCTGAATCAGCACCGACGCTGGTAGGAGACGACGTCGCCACCTCCGATCTTATCGCCATGGAACAACACCACCCGTGCAAGGGGATCGATGCAGTTGCCACAGCGCAATCGTCCCCGGACGGACGGACGGACTCTACGGGGAAAAAGCCGCACGCCCTTCCTAAGATGCCGAAACCCAGAGACAGCCCCTGGCAAATGGTTCAGGTGGGCGCCTTTAAATCCACACGCGGCGACCGTCTACAAGAAATACTCCGGGGTGAAGCAACAGCGCAGTCGGGATGTCCACCTCGAGAGCCGCTACGGGGAGGTTCTCCGCGCGTCCCCCGTGGGTGGCCACGGGCTGCTCACCGAAGCCCGCCGACCACCATCCTCACGCGGCTGCCAATTGACTAGGCGGCTTCTGTGCGGGACGCAAGGTGACCCTCGCCGCCGAGTCACCTACCGGACAGCGCAGGCAGCAGCAGCAGCAGAGGCGGCGCTTCAACTCGGGGAACCCTTCGCGACCGGGAACAGCCTCCGCCCGAGCGCGCGTCTGTCCGTGTTGTGTGAGAGCGAGCGAGCATGGAGGGTTGTATATGCCGGCGTGTGTGCGGCAACACTCTGCTGTGCGTAATGAGGAGGGGATGTGGATCGCGTGTGCCGGGAGCAGGGTGTGTGCGAGACACCGAGAGAGAGAGTGTGCGTGGGTGATATGCTGGCGTGTGTAATTATGCAGGGGACGTGGGTGGTAGCTGTGGTGGCGTTTGCCCGGGGATGTGGGAGTGGAGATGGGGGAGGAGGAGGATGGGGGAGGAGGAGGATGGAGCCCCGCGTCACAGCGTCACGGCGTGACGCGGCCGTCCACGGCGCGTCGCTTCATGAACGAGGATGGGAGGACGCTTCCTCGTTTCCAAGTTAACTCATTACGAGTAAAACAACGCAACCTTCTACATGCGTACGTGCGACCCACGTACTATACACACACACACGCGCGCAAAAAAAAATTCCGCATAGCGTATGTGCCGCTGTGAGCGAGGTGCTATGACTAGAACCGTAAGAGACATGCAGCCGTGGCTACTTGGCGCGGGGGAAGACGTCATCCAGCAGTAGATTGATCGTGGAAGATTATGATGTCTATTGCAGGGGACGTCCGAGCCGAACCACCTCCCCGGCCGCCTTTGTCTCCCCGGTTTTGATTTTGTTTACCACACCGCACCAGTGGGGCCACGCATTTGCGGCTGAGTCGGCCTAGGGGAAGGGCCACGACCGGTTCGGATATAGCCGTAGATGGCAATCCAACTCAGGCGCATGGGTTCTTAGGGCAGCGTGAGCACCACTGCTCCCCACATATGCAGGGTACAACAACAACAAGCGCCATTCGCCACTAAGTGGCGGTGACGTCACCACGGAGCTTGTGCCAGCCTAGGTGTACGTCGAGGCCACGTGTGTCGAACGCCCGCCGGCAGGAGGTCACGGGGTAGACCCAGCAGGTGCCACGGGTCGACTGACTGAGATGACTGCTGGCCGATGCACCACCTGTGCCCCCTACTGTGCAGGGTACACGCACTTACCCACACACACCCATACACACGCAGCTTAATCCGAGTGCTGTAGTTTACGTTGCCTGTTCTTGGTGGACCACCGCGACCCGCCCCGGCTCGCACAGGACGCACATTCATAGACGGGCGCGGCAATGAGCGCTTGGGCTTAAACAAACTTTAATAAACTATTCAAGCATCAATGCCCGATGACATCACCGGAGTGCTCAAAACAACCAGCAGCCGCACGTGGCACAATTAGCTCGGTGGCGAAGAGGGCGCGGGTGCGTGGATTCCACCCCTCTGTTGGTGCGTGCGACGATGTTAGCAGCAATGCGTTCGTGAGCTAAATCCCAACGCCGAGAGGTCTGCTGCTCGCCACGTGGCTTCAGCAGAGTGAGAGAGTTGGCGTCGTTTTGCCGTTCCTCCTGCGTTGGAGCGCAGACTGCAGTAGTTTTACTGGTCCGTAGTTTGGGTTGCATGGCCATAGTGGCACGACTCTGGCGTGTCTTTAATTTTCCATTTTGCACGGCCTCCGTCACACAGTGGCTTGTCTTTCAGTTTCCTTCAGAAATGGAAATGTTTACTTCATGAATGGAAACTGAAAGACAAGCCACTGCGAGACCGCGGCCATGCAATTCGAACTATGGCCCAGACAGGCGAGTAAACCACCGTAGTCTGTGATAATTAATGCAGTAGATTCATAATGGCTAATTCTGCTGCTGATTATAATAATCATCATGAACTGGACTATGATGGGGGGTTGTCTAATCGGGAGTTCTCTAGTGGGGTAAGCAACCCTGTAAACATTGAACGTTGGGTCAACGGTTCAAAACACGTGCCGACGTTGCCTTAACGTCGAATATTTACCGGGCGTTGCGAATGTGCGACGGTGGGAGCATAGCAGTTCGGTACAACGGTGGCATTTTCTGCACTGCCCTCTGCTGTCCACCACGTGGCCCTATGCCAAGCCGTTTTGTGCATTGGCCGTCAACCCACTGGGTGTTTGTTACTTGATACGAGAGGCAATGGAGACCCAGGAGTCTGTGTGTGTAAAGGGAAACCTGTACGTATGTACGCACGTTGAACTTCTTTCGCACCGTACGTAGCCAACCGTGCGAATCGGAGGTGCTGGACGATATAAAGAACGTGCGGCATACAGGATCAACAGAATGTCAAACAACGCAGAGTACATTTGCATCATTACATACCTGTCAACCCATAGGGTTTAACCCGTATGCTTGTACAGGGAAATCTTGTTTTCAGGTCCATACGGCGTACAGCCGTTTCAATGCGGGCAGTTTTCGTTTTTGTCGATTTGTGTTTCTTCCTTGTGATGGGACTTTGTAGGATGAACGTTGAGATTTATAAGGGGCACGGGGTGTGACCAATAAGGTCTGAATCGGCCTGTAATAAGGTAGGGCACTGGTAAGGGGTTGAAAGGTTTGTAATTAAAACACAACTTATCGCATTTTCACTTGCAATCGTAGTGTCCGAATATTCGCAGCGCATCTACGCATCGCTTAATCGATGAATGTCGGTGTCTGAGCTCACGACTCGTCGCGTGGATTCGTGTAAATGTTGTAGGTAATGGGTTCGCGTGATCCCTCTGGTCAGTAGTGGCCGCTACATGTAAGACAATCTTAAACTAAATAACACATTCCTGAATGGGAACGCTATACTGTGACTCGCTACAACGAATCGATCCGAAGCTCGTGGGCGTTACGGGATCGTGGGGGGGGGGGGTCTGAGTCGTTGCACCTGTAAGCACTTTACCGGTCCGTCAGCTTTTAGTAGACAACATCAGCCTATCGGGCAAGCTGTGAACCGGTTTTGACTTTGTGAGTCTCATCAGCAGAGCGTGGCCCGTCACAGCGCGCACCCCCCCCCCCCCTCGCCGTGTTGTGCCGCTTAAAAGAGGAGAAGCGACCTCCCCCCCAACCTCCTCCTGGCTTCGTGCGCGTTTCGCTGCGAGCGAACAACGGCCCAGGTGGAGGGGGGGGGGCTCGAGCAGAGGTTCAGCTCAGGGAGTGGCAAGTTGCCTCGTAAAGATATCGCTCTCGTCGTTGGAGACATTCGAGCCCAGCAGGTTTGTCCACATTCATCGATCCGGGGAGTGGCAGGAGTTGCTGCTGCTGTTTCTATTCCCTGAATATACAGCAGTGATGTGTGTGTGTATATATATCTATGTTGAACTTCTTTCGCGCCGTACGTAGCGGAGGTGCGGGGGGCAGGGGATGGGGGGGGGGGGCAGGGGATGGGGGGGGGGGCAGGGGATGGGGGGCAGCTTGTGACGTAACATAATTCACTAGAGACTTTTGTCAATTCAATTCTGGATGAAGGTCTTTTCACACCGTGTTGGTCATTTGACCATCTAAGAATAGGTTTTACCCTTTATGGCAATAAAACAATTGTGTTAAGATGTTAAAACACCAAACAAAAACCTTTTTGCAAGGAATCATGTCTGCATTAACCACGTATACCTGTGGTGAACATGCAATAAAAAAGCATGCTCTAATAGTATGTGCATTGTCTTTGAAACTGATTAGTCCACACCAGAGACGGATTTCTATAGAGCCTAGTCTCAAACAGTGTTAGACCAGAGGACGCCAAAAGGCGAACAGCACAAAAACAATTTTGATACTGGCAGGGAGTTCCCATGATATTTGACCATACTTCACCATATTGGTCAGTGCCACTTTGTGAATGGGGCGGAAGCAGTGGCCCAGTTGTTAGCACGCTGCGCTTCTAAACCTGGCGACCCGAGTTCGATTTCCCGCTCATGTCCAACACCGGTGACGAATATCTTAATCGGCCCTAGGCCTCCCCTAGGTCGACCCCATTAGCGTAATAATTATCAAAATGTGTTAACGTTTCCACTGCTGTCATTATTACATAGCGCAAAGTTGGCGCTCACTTGATCTGCTCTTGGAGGGATGGTGGCGCTCAGTTGACCCTCGACATGTTTAGGTCCTGGCCACCAAAGGACACCTGTCGCCATCAGCGTCACAGCCACGTCAATCGTTCGTGTGAATACTGTTGTATATGCCGGGTATGAAAATTTTGATGAAAATAATTTTTTTAAATGAAATTTGGATAAATGCGTAATTATCCGAAATTATGTTAATTGTTGTAATGATACACATAAATTATGCTAATAAGATATAATCGTCTTGATTTATGTAAATGTGTGCGATTATGCTAATGCAATCCGTTATGATAATTAGGCTTAGCTTCGTTGCCCAGGGTCGTATCATCAATCGGAATCATACAATTAATTGTATGAAGTTATGCAGGTGTGATGTAAGTATGCTAGATTAAGCTCGGCTTCGTTGTCTAGGGTTGTATTATCAATAATTATAATACAATGATTCTCGCTTTAACATTTACTGATTATGTATTAGTGTGTTTATGTCAGATCTCCAAATTCAAATCTCATCCGCAGGATACAGTTCTTATTAAGATTATTATGCATGAACTTAGGAAGGAACCACTCAAACACTTCTGTGTTAAGCAATTTTAATTTCTAAACAAAACCTTAACACTCTAATATGCGAACTCTTATGCTTGGAATTGTCAACACAGTACTCCTGGAGATGTTCCCCTCATTGATCCATATATTTAACCCTCAATTATCACGTTTGTTAATTGGGTAACAGAACAAACGATTACTTCGTCAGAGTAACACGAGCATATACGGCAAATAGGAATAAAAAGTCCTTAAAAATTAATGCAATGATATTCATACGAATGGCAATAAAGAAACCTGTCCCGAAGGCAAGAGTAGTTATCAATTAATTCATTGGTAAGATTATGCAATTAAAAAGAAAAAACGAACAACTAAAATACTTCCAAATGACCGTATCCACGTAACTCAATGGGCAGCAATGTTCTGCACGATCAGTTGATATTTAGTGCACCACCTTGGAATGGCAACCCTTCTTGAAACACAAAGATAACTTTTGGAACAATCTTATTTGTCCCGGTATGCGTGTTGTGTGTCTTCTTTGCCACTTGTTCAATTCTTTGCGTAAAGCAGACGCCGGGCGATGCGTCGCGAGGCTGTGAGTGTGGGGGAGGGTCGTACAAACGGCTTCGCTCTCTCTCTTGCTCGGGGCGGCCACAGTTTCTGTCCACAGCTGGCTGGAAGAGCCGGCACGACGCTCGCCGTCTGTGCGCGATGATCCCGTCGTCAGATAGCGCCCGCAGCTCGTCCGCTGGCTGCAGTTCCTCTCTCTTGTCTTGGTTCCCAGCCGGTGCCGGTCGGTGTGC